GCAAAGTCATTTTTTTATTAAGATGATAAGCATTCCATTGAATTAGGACTTTTAATTTTTTCATGAATAAACTACACTTGTAAGAATTGTCAGAATACAGAAAGAGTTGAAACTAATGACAATTTTCCAGTCCCTTGAAGAAAAGAAAGCCCAAAATGGAGAAGTACAATGATCTGAGGAAAATTCAAATAATGAAAACTCTTGTGCTCAGTATTTAAGAGACACACAGACAGAGAAAATGCTCAGAGAAGCTGGAAAAAAGCTCACACTCTTCCATCTCAACCAGAAAGAAAGCTTCTTCTTATAATTTTCCAATGGCTTTTCCAGTCTCTTCACTGATGGCATTGGTGATGATCTTCTCCAACCCCATCTCCTCTACTAGCTGTGACCTGCCTCTGAACCACATCCTGGTCAGCAGGGAGAACTTCATGCTTCTGAGCCAAATGAGGAAAATCTCCTTTTCCCTCTGTCTGGAGAACAGAAATGACTTCAGACTCTCCCAGGAAACAGTAGATAGAGGTGAGGTCCAGAAAGCTCAGGCCACTTCTGTCCACTACAAGATGCTCCAGCAGATCTTGAAACTCTTCCTCACAGAGCGGTCCTCTGTTGCCTGGAACACAACCGTGCTGGACAAACTCTGCACTGGACTCTATCAGCAGCTGGAAGACCTGGACACCTGTTTGGTGCAGGAGACAGGACAGGCAGAACCTGCCCTGGGAAAGAAGGACCCTACACTGGCCGTAAAGAGGTACTTCTTGGGCATCCGTCTCTACTTGAAAGAGAAGAAATACAGTGACTGTGCCTGGGAGGTTGTCAGAGTAGAAATCAGGAGGTGTTTTTTCTTTGTTAACAACCTCATAAGAAAAAAACTCAGGAAATAAGAAAGATCCTGTTTCTCAGTTCAGACTCTTTCATTGTTCAGTGTTTTCCAAAACTGTTATTTTTTGCTTCTGCTATAAAATAATTTGAATCATAGTTGGCATATTTTTATCAGTAATATTAGGCATATCTATGTCAAACTATTTCAGAATTGGAGGAAATGTAACTGAACTTCATGTTAAAAAATACGTATGTGCGTATGTATATATGTATTTATTTATTAATATTAGTTTATCTATTATTTTATGGCATTTGTATTTTAT